CCTCTCCAGCTGGTTTTGTGGAAGTCACCAACATTGACAAAACCAGAAATGAATTTCCACCTGATCTATGACACCAAGGGTCAATTTGCTGTTCATCATCTTACACCTGAGGAGGTATGAGTTTTGCAAAGTAAGAAAGGTCTTTGTGGGCAAAAGAATCCCTCCATCATGATGTTGACCCCCTATGCTACCCTGATGCCTCATCAAGGGGAATGGTACCATTCAGATTGATTTGGAGACTGGAAAGATTACTGATTTCATCAAGGTTGCTACTGGCAATCTTGGTTGATTTGGTGACGGGAGGACCAACCTGGGAAAAATAGGTGTGATCACTAACTGAGAGGGAACATCCTGGCTCTTTTGATGTGGTTCATGTGAAAGATACTAATGGAAACAGCTTTGTCACCAGACTTGCCAACGTTTTTTGCTATTGGCACAGGCAACAAACCTTATCATTGCTGGAGAGAGAGAGAAGAGACTGGCTGCCAAGCAGAGTAGTGGGTGAAGTGATCTCTAGGTGATACAAATGAACAAATATTTGCATAATTAAAGATAATAAACACAACATCAAAAAACAAACAAACAAACAACACAAAACACACCCAAAAAACCCTACTGTCATACACATGACATAGATGGATCTCAACACTTTGGGCTAAGGGAAAGAAACCTAGCTCTAGGTTAATGATTGGCTATCATGTTGGGTATACATTTATGTTGAAATGCATTAAACTATGATGGATGGACGGAGGTGTAGACTGATGTAATCCAGCAAACAGAGACCAACGTTCATACTGTAGAAACTAGGTGATGGTTAGTTGTTCACTGTACACTTTCTTTCAACTTTTCTCTGTTTGAAAATTTTTATGAAGAAATATTTGGAAACACAAACAAACCAATAAAATCCTTATCCTGATTTCTAGTAGATGCCTAGAATACTCTAATGAAACACATGGCGCCTCTTGGAGGCATGCATGTCAGCAGAAACATTTCTCCCCTCATGGACTTCCTAAAGTCCACTTACAGCCCCCATAGGGCTGAGTAGATGAGGTTAACAGGCCTTAGCTTCATCGCTTTCTAGATGTGGGTGATAAGGAGCAGTCAAAGGCGATTCAGAAGCTTGGGAAAATAACAGTGAGAGAAAAAGCACAGTGGTTAAGCACTCGATTGCTCACGGAAAGGTTGGTGGTTACAACCCAGCTGATGTAGCAGCCTGCCTCCATAAAGATGTGCACTCTTGGAAACTAAGGGGGCAGTTCTACTCTGCCTAGAGGGTCATTACGAGTCAGAATGGACTTGGCGGCAACAGGAGTCAGTAAGAAAATAAAGGTGCAATTAAAATGGAAAACTGACCTACTGTACCTATAAAAACATGCTTCTGCTATTGGCGTTAGTGGCTTTTTAAACTGGCAAACTCATTTCTCATTTAGCATCTAACAAAAATTGCCTTGGTAGGTTGCCTTGATTTCTTTTTTTAATTTGGCTTTGTTTTGACAATCAAGTTACTCAGCCTAACACTGGTTTCTTTCTAAATCTCAAAGACCCATGAACAAGCACAAATAAACATATTTTCCATACATACAACCTTGACATGCCAATAGACTTTAAGCAGGCCTGACCCATTCACTTCCTTTTGGGCCACAGAGATTGGATCACACTTGAGTTTATGACCCAAGTCAGTCCAATGAGACTCACTAAAAATATTTTTTTCCATGTTGGAAAAGATCTGCCCCCACCTTCCTCTGAACTTTTAAGGCTAAAGGATGGTGAAAGCCTAGATCTGCCAAAGGTCACTGCATACCTCATTCAAGAATAAAGTCAGCACAGAGGGAAACAGAGTAGGAAGATGGACACAAAGTACTGCAAAATCATCTGAGCTCCTGGATCCATGAAACCGTATCAGCCCTGGGACTTTTCAGGTATGTGAGCTGATTCCCTTATGGGTAAGTCAGTTCAAGGAGGAGATTCTTTCATTAGCAACTGAAATAGTGCTGTTGTTAAGTGCCATCAAGTCAGTTCTGACCCATAGCGACCCTATACAGAGTTTCTGAGGAGTGGCTGATGGGTTTGAACTGGTAACTTTGCAGCCCAAACTGACCTTGCGGTCTAGTACATGACCCTGCAGCACCACATTAGGACTCCAAAAAATAGAAATAGGCCCACTATGATGTAAGGGTTCTTGTATGGTCTGGCTTGTTTAGCCAACTCCCAGAAATGACTTGAGTCTCCTGACAACTGTGGTGACCTACAGGGCCTGGGTTTATTCCACAAGGGAAACATAAAGGCCAAGTAAGAGAAATGCTAAACGATAATTTAAAAAAACAAAATGTTCACAGGGAAAATGGAGGGCCACATTATAACTTCTGTGAGTCCTTGACATTTGTGCCTTCATGGGCCCCTTCTTCCATTAAATAAAAAAGGTTAACATTTATATTTTACCACCACATTGGTATAAAGATGAAATAATCCAGTCTGGATCATATTCATGTACCTGTCTGATTTTAAAAGACATGAAAACATCTTGGTGGACATTCTGCATTGTGTCCATTCGGCCTAAAGGATACAGTACCTCTGGGTACACATTACCCAAATGACTTGTCTACATGGTTGCTTCTCTAGAGGTTTACCAAGCTCTAGTTTCCTTGTCTAGAAAGTATGAGGGAGCCTAGAAAACTCCTTGGAGCCTGTTCCACACATTTCCCTGGACCAGCAGCCTTGGGCTTTATCTTCTGGGTGCCCCTGGCACTGGGGACACACTTGTAACTGGCACTGTCACTCTGTATCATGGGGAGTTGTTTGTCAGAGTGAGTAGGAAGGTGATGTTATGGATTGAATTGTGCTCCCCCTAAAGAAGTGTCAACTTGGCTGGGCCATGACTCTCGGTGGTTGGGCAGCTATGTAATGACAGAGGGAATCTATCGCCATGATGCGATCTGATGTGAGGGCATGGGGGTGGGGTGCAGCAGCCTTACTGGAGTCATTGTCCTGATGTGATGTAAGTGGACTTTCCCTGGGGGCATGGCCTGCATCCCCTTTTATCTTATAAGAGATAAAAGGACAGAGAAGCTAGCAGAGAGCAGGCACCTTAGCATCCCTGAGAAAGAAGACCAGGAACAGCTCCATCCGTTGGACCCAGGGATCTTATACTCTGACTCTCTAGACCCAGGGGAAGACTGATGACAAGACACATGGAAATCTCCAAGGATCGCTGGGCCTACAGATGATGCAAGGAGCCCACAGAGACAGAAAGCCTTCCTCCAGAGTCAGTGTTCTGAATTTAGACTTCTAGCTTTCTAAATTGAGAGAGAATAGATCTGTGTTTGTTAAAGCCATTCATCTGTGGTATATCTGTTACAACAACACTACATAACAGAGACTGGTGACAAGATAGAAGCACTCTGGGATGATGAGACTGAGATTCATCACCTCCATGCTCCTGTGGCTGGCACAGGCCTGAAGATACTGCACCAAGGTTTGCTGGAGGAATGGGGGTTGGTGGAGGAAGATAAAGGCGGCTTCCTACTTGAGACACTATTATCCCATAGGAACTAGGCCACAGGCCAATAAGATACATAAATGGATGAAGCAGTAGGTGTGAAGTTTGGCCACCTGGAGTGTGTGTGCATTTGAGGATTTCCTGGGACCCCATCTCTTCTCTTGAAGGATGAATGTACCAATTTGAAGAGACAGAGGGATTATACTTATGTGGGTCTGCCATGTGGTTACGTTGGTGAACAGTTAGTACGATAGGTCCCTGGGGGAGTTCCTTAGAGTTTCTGGGTGGCTAACACTTAACTGTGCTCATGAGGAATCTGTACCTGGACCAAGAGGCAGTTGTTCAAACAGAAAATGGGAACACTGAATGTTTTAAAATTAAGAGAGGTGTGTGACAAGATTGTATTCTTTAACCATACTTATTCAATCTGTATGCTGAGCAAATAATTCGAGAAGCTGTGTTATATGAAGAAAAAAGTGGCATCAGGATTGGAGGAAGACTTATTAACAACCTGCGATATGCAAATGACACAACCTTGCTTGCTGAAAGCGAAGAGAACTTAAAACATTTACTGATGAAGATCAAAGAACACAGTCTTCGGTATGGATTACATCTCAATGTAAAGAAAACAAAAATCCTCACTACTGGACCAATAAACAACATTCTTATCAACAGAGAAAAGATTGAAGTTGTCAAGGACTTCATTCTTCTTGGATCAACTATCAACACTCACGGAAGCAGCAGTCAAGAAATCAAATGACGTATTGCATTAGGCAAATCTGCTGCACAAGACCTTTTTAAAGTGTGGAAGAGCAAAGATGTCAGCTTAAGGACTAAGGTGTGCCTGACCCAAGCCATGGTATTTTCAATAACCTCATATGCATGTGAATAAGGAAGCCTGGAGAATTGATGTTTTTGAGTTATGGTGTTGGAGGAGAATATTCAAAGTGCCATGGGCTGCCAAAAAAACCAATAGATCCATTTTGGAAGAAGTGCAGCCAGAATACTCCTTGGAGGCCAAGATGGCCAAACTTTGTCTCTCATACTTTGGACATATTGTCAGGTGGGACCAGTCGCTGGAGAAGGATATCATGTTTGGTAAGATGGAGGGTCAGAGAAAAAGAGGAAGACCCCCAATGAGATGGATTGGCCAAGTGGCAGCATGGATGGGCTGAAGCATGCCAACACTAGTGAAACTGGCCCAGGAACGGGCAGTGTTTCGTTCTGCTGTGCATAAGGTCGCTATGAGTCAGTACCTACTCGGTGGCCCCTAACAACAACAACAAAACGGTTAACAGTCTAAGCTACTAACTCAAAGGTTGTAAGTTTGAGTCCACCCTGAAGTACCTTGGAAGAATGATCTGACAGTGTACTTCAGGAAAAGCAGTCACTGGAAACCCAGTTCCACTCTGACACACACAGGGTTGCCAGGCGTTGGAATCCATTGATGGCACTTGGTTTTTTGGGGGGAGTTCCTTGCCTCCAAACCCTGCTCCCCACTCACCTTCATCGCTGGTGTGAGGCTCAGTGCCATTGTCATGGTCAACTTCATCGATGGTCCCTGGTTCGCTGTGTGGGCTGTCACTGCAAGGAAACAGGAAGGGGACTCACCAGGGGCTGTCTACCCTCACACCACTCTCAGCTACTCCACCTCTGGGTCTTCACCCTCATCATGCTCCGGCTCCTGGTATGTTGTCTTTTCCATTCTGTCCCTCTACAGCCCCCTCCTCCATGAAGCTCTCCTGAATTTCTCTCTAGCTCCCCACAGCCCTGCACTTTGCTGGAATAGCTTCTTGGTCAAAGTTGTCAGTGCTTAGATGTTCTTGTAAGATGCAGAGGATAAAAGTAAAGACTGATGTTTATCATCAGAAGGACCACTGGCCCAACAATCCAGCCCAGAAAGGAACCTTGGGAGGATTGTGCATCACATCATCTCCCCTGGCTCCCTTGTCTCAGAACTGGGGTGACAGACCCAGTGAGGAGATGCAGTGATGGGTAAGGCAGACAAGGTCCTTGCCCTTATAGAAATTACATTCTAGAGGGGGACAGGAAAAATGCCCGAGTACGCAGGCCAGTAAAGAAAACTGTTGTAAGCTGAGACACATGTTATGTAGGAAACAAAGGAGCAGAGACAAGAATGGCAGAAACGAGGAATGAAGGGTGGTTGAGGAAGGCTCCTCAGAGACATTTAAACAGCATTCGGGGAGACAGACTTCATTATTAAATATTTTGCACTGCCTGCTTGACATAGTTCATACTCCGCAAAATGACTTACAGTCCCTGTTTACACACTACGCTTGGTCACACTGCCTGCTTTCCATTTCATTGAATGCTCTTTGCAGGTGCTATTCCCATGGCCTAGAATGTTCTTTGCCTATTCCAGTTCATCCTTCAAGTAGGTCTCAGTTCAGCCTTTGCTTCTCCAATGGGGTCTTTCCTGACCACCTGAAATTGGCCTAGGGGCCCACTTCTGGAACATCATCTTGTCTCCTTCAGTAGAGTTTCCAGAAGCCAGGGGTTAATCTGGTTCATAGTCACATCCTTGCTTAGGACAGGTTCTATTTCAGTTGCTCAGTAATAGGACTGAATGAATGATTGTTGTCTACTATGATGACAGACCCTCAGATAAATCCTGTTTTTTGGCCTTGAAAACTCCTCCAGAATTTCTCTGTAATTAATAGTTTTCCTTTCTCTTGGGAAATAAATGAGATTTAGAGAAATGTGGTGATTGTATTTTGTTCTTTGATAAATACACTAAGATCTGTGTGTTCTTCGCAGAACACTAATTATATATATTGTAACAAAAATAAGGACCTGGTAATGATTGCAAAGACTGGGAAAAATTCCTCTTTGTTCATCAATTATGCTTGCTGGATGTTAAATGTTTCTGTTTCTGTTAAATGTTTCAGAACAGGGACTGGCGTGCTCCATGGTGCTGCCAATGAGACTAGGGAGCTGTGATTAGCCAACACTGTTGTTGTTGTGATTAAGTGCTGTCAAGTCAGTTCTGACTTACAGTGACCCTGGACAGGGTTTCCGAGGAGCGGCTGGTGGATTTGAACCGCCGACCTTGCCACACCAATGAAATAATGGGCCATGGTGGCGGAGTCCAGGTTGATACTTGTAGGGTAAGCACTGGACTGCTAACTGCAAGGTAGGCAGTTCAAAGCCACTGGCTATACAGGGACACTATGATCCAGAACTGACTCAATGGCACTTAACAACAACAACAATATGACCCATTATTTCTTTGTATATAGGGTAACAAAGGAACTGCGGGGCTCGCTTCATTGAAGAATTTAAAGCTCTACTATGTCTCCAGAGCTAAGCTAGCTCAAGAGGCTGGAATGCTTTGAAAATCAAAAGACAAACTCCTCTGTAGGCACTTGGTTGAAAGCAGACCAGATAATACCTAAATATATAGCTGTGCATTGTCATAGACTGGGGATAAAGTAACAATGACTGGTCTGTCCCTTGGTGTTCTGAATATCCTGTCTTTACCACATTGTAAAGTCTTAGCCTGGGGAAGGTACTCAGTCCTGATTTTGACAAGGTTCGAAACTATTTCTCCAACAACCCAGTGCTGTGCTCACTCCACAGAGAAGCTTCACTGAATGAACCTTGTTGGCCTGGTGTGGAGCACTCAGAAAGCGTGAACTTACTTTGTGTAGAAAAGAGAACTCCCAGATGGGAAAAGTAGTAAGGGGCAGACTCACTCTCAGTCCATAAGACTGAGGTAGGATTTACTCACTTCCCTGCTTCCTGTGCCTCCACCTAGTCAGTTAGAGCATGGCATCCCTCTACCATGTGACTAGTTCAGGGACCAGCACTAAACCAAGCCTCACCAGTGAGATGTAATTCTTGGGCTTGTGTTGGGGCATTTGGAAAGAACATTTGGGGATACTGAGAGAATGGGTTCTAAATCTAGAGTTGTTGGCTGCCTTCTTCAACCACCAAGAGGAGAGGCTGCCTGAGAATGAAGTCAACACAGAAGAAAGCAGAGTCAAGAGATGGTGACTGCAGGACCAAGTTTTAATGGTAACATTTGAGCCCCTGGATCCAGCTATACTTGAAGCCATATTCCCAGATTCTTTAGTTAAGTAAATTAATGAATTCCCATTTGGTTTAAGTTAGTTTGAGATGTATCCTTTGTAACCAAGAGAGGACTGATGGATGTACCTATCTATTACTCAAATAATAATAAAAAAAAAGTTTATGAAAGTACAGACAGAAAAGCAGTAAGAAAATTGAAGAGCCTTCTTACTGTTCCTGTTGAATAACAACAATAACGGTCATAATAATAATAATAAGAGGAGTGGAATCTTACCAATATTCTTCCCCTCCAGCCATGCATTTTTCATACACGGGCCCCTCTAGCTCCCGGGGGCTGGGGAAGATGGCTTCATGATGGATGATGATGGTTTTGATGACTTCGTTGACGTGTGCCTGGCAGGACACAGGGTCCTGTCCATCAGGGATGTGCATGAGGGTGGGCCCGAAGCAGATGGCCAGGTTGTAGGGATCCATCATGTTCTCATCACTATACTGGGAGAGGCTAGAAGAAAGGAGGGACCCACAAGTCACTGGGGAAAGGCCAGTCCTCCCCTTGATATTTCTTTCTTTGAGGTCTCTGCTAGAATCCAGGAAGGTTCTGTGCTATATGTTGAAGACCTCAGTACGCCCCCTCCCAGGAGGCCACGGTAGGGTCAGAGAGGGGCCCCGTTGGCTAGGCAAACTAAAAGCACTCACTGGTTGAGGAAAGCGAAGAGGTATCTCATGACCACGATGACCACACGGGGCAGGGTGATGAGGATTTGTTGGATCTGGTGCACCCTCTCAGCTGGGGTCTCCAGTTCTGCAACATAAAGGGGCTTTTCAGGATGCCTTTGATCCTCAAAGATGTACTGGTTCCCATCTCCTACATTAGCTCAAGTGGTGCTAGGAGAGCCAGCTTTGCTCTGACTAAGGATTCATGTGACCCAGGCCTGGCCAATCAGAACATCACATTCCCGTGGCCACATAACTGGTTCAAGGAGGGGGTTGTTGCCTGGTCAGTACCAAGTTAATTCCTGGGACTTTGGGATGAAAAAATCTAGAGAGGGTATGGTACGCTCTCGAACTTGGATGGAGGAAAGTCTGGAGCTGCTGGAGGCTGCCAGAAAAGAAGAGCTTACTTACTTGAGAGTGAAGTCAGCACAGAGATGCAGGGGGACAGATTCCTGCTGAGGCCATGTGAGGGCTTGAATCCAGCTGGGCCTAAACTTTCTGGGACATGGGCCAATGCATTCCTTCTTATGGATGCAACCCGTTTAAGTTGAATTTCTGTCACTTGTAACCTAAGAGCCCTGATAAACACCATTGTTGTTGTTGTTGTTGTTGTTAAGTGCCATCGAGTCGGTTCTGACCCATAGCGACTCTGAACAGGGTTTCCAAGGCTGTAACTCTTTACGGGAGCAGATAGCCTCATCTTTCTCCCGTGGAGCAGCTGGTAGTTTCGAACTGCTGACCTTACAGTTTGCAGCCTGATTCGTAACTACTACACTACCAGATAAACCATAAGGACCACATTTTATTAAACACAAGCTTGAGATAAAACAAAGTGTATTTTGTTGAATGTACAGCTGATCATCTTATCTGTAAACCTTCACTCAATTCACAGTTAAAAGTTAAAAAGAAAGAAACACCAGCTGTAGCACAGGTCTGCCACATAGTAGGTGATCAGGAAATAAGTGTGGAATAAACAGTCACTTCTCAGGTTACATATTGGCCAAAGGGCCTGGCAGATGTTCAAGGGCCTCACCATCTTAGAGAGACAATGTTGCACCCATGCCTGGGATAGCAACATGAAAAATTATGCAAAACTCGGCATTATGCAAAAAGGGAGGATATTCATATCAGATAAGAAAATGGAGGATGATTACATATATTACATAATTACCAAATTACATCATTATGTAACTGCCAAATGACATCGTTTCATCACTGCCAAACTACTGCAAAGCATGGCCCAGACAAGCTGACACATATCCTTAACCATCACAGCCAGTGCTAGTCTTGCAGAGCACCTCAGTGTTCAATACTGTCAGAGGTACACCACTACACCAAATTGTTGGATAGTACATTTTTTTACTACTGCTGTAAATGCAAAATTTCAGATAACTAAGCAGTCGATACATGAGGCATAGGTGCATTTTGAACAGTCAGGCCAAGGTGGGCTTGGTAAGGAGATCACAGTCATTAGGGGGCTTTGCCTTATGGATAGGGAAAGCTGGAGATAGGAAGAGTGAGTGGCCACAGGGCGGATCCCCAGAGCAATGTAAGCTTCTTCTCAGCACTTGTCTCTCTCACAGAGCCCTTCTTTCTGGGTCCACAGGACATCAGTGTTTTCCTTCTGTACCACAATAGTCTCTGGGTTTCTTCTGCATCCAAGGTCCTTCATGATGGGGTTTCAACCAACCTTGCCTGCCTTATTTCCCAGCCACCATCCTTCCTCAAAGATGACTAGATAAGGCGACAGTACGCCCCTGGAGGCACTGAGAAATGCATGGGGCATTCTTTGGGGTTGTCACATGACTGGGGGTTGCTACTGGCATACGATATCCAGGGGTCAGGGTGTGAATTCTACCCTTCAAACCAATTGTGCGTGCCCCAACTGAGAAACACTGGACCAGGATGTCCGAATCATCCTTCCCTCTCATAAAGGATTTTCCTGCCCCTGGGTCTTTGCACATTAAAGATCTTCTCTGTTCAGCATGGTCTAGCTTACCTCTGCGGCCCAGCTCCCTCCCCCCCCGCCCCCACCTCACAGAATTAATGATAATGCATGCATATCGATTCTACCACCCCTCACTATAATCTACAGTGTTGGCACAGCTTCCATCATATTAGGTATTAATATTGTTTTTTTTAAATACATTTATTTTCAAAGGAAACCATTTAGAGAAACCAGCATCACGTGACATAATTAGAAGGTGACATTAAAAATAGACACAAAGAAAGCAAAACAATGCTACAAAATTACAGTTAGACATTCCTGAAGACAAAATGCCTGAGAGTGAGACTCCGCTCTCTGTTTACAAAGGGAATTGGTGGGTAACAGTTTCTCCTCAATGCAATGAGAGGCTTTGGAAAGAAACAGAGAAGGGACTCTTCGGTTCAAGGTGGGATTCAAGGTCCGTAATGTCTGTGCAAAGCCTTGCTCAGTAATTAGACTATGGGGACTTCTAAAATTGTGTGCTGAGCACATGACACAAGGCTCAGAGAGGGTTGGGGATTTTGTGGTGTGGAATTTCTGAGCTGTGATTCGGAGCATGAGCTAGGTCTGGAAAGCTGAGCAGAGAGTCATGTGGTGGGCAGAAGGGTTCTAGAAGGGTCTTATTGAAGCCTCCTTCTCTTGCCACCTCCTGGGACATTTTCCTGGCTGCAAATCTCTCCCAGCACGTGGTAAGTATAATGCCTAGTGGCACTAGGTATAGGACAATTTAAAACATTTTGAAATAGAGGTTTATTTATTTATTTATAAAGGCATTTTGTAAAAGTTGCCTTAGATTTTGGCATCTTACGGCCAAGGTGACTTGACTTCATCCTGGAAGCTTAGGCTTGTGCCTTTATCCACAGAAACATAAGGATCAGCAGGGCTCTTACAGCCAGTGATGCCAGAGGAGGCACCTGGTCAACTTATTTTCACCATTCCCTTGTGTGTCACATCGATGATCTGACTCTCCAACCTTCCATGGCTATCTATTACCTAAGGGGAAAAAGCTGCAAAAACCCTTGCAAGGCATTCACAGTTTTCCCACTCTTGCTCCACACACTGCCTTCTGGTCCTATTATTGGTCTACATCTTCAGCCCGGCACAGGATTCCCCATGTACCTCCTCCAGAACCATTCTGCTGTTCAAACTCCCTGGACTCTGATCTGTGAAACCAAGCCCTCCTCTGCGTCTCCTCCTTTGAGCATCTTCTGCACCCAGAAATGTGCCATCTTTTTAGCTTCTTCATTATGAAGCATCTTGTTATTTTCACTAGATTTTAAGTTAATTGAGGGCAAGGGTCATTCTCCCCTGTGCCTGGGACAGTGTTGAGCCTCAGCACAACTTCAATAAAGAGCTGTCAGGGAGCTGATTACCTCACTGGGGAACCCCTCATCTGCCTGCCCTTCCCCATTGGTACTTACTAATGGTAGATATCAAATCTTGAAACCTTTCCTTAGGAAAGAGTGGGTTTTCCAGTCCTCGGAAATACAGTTTTAAAACGCCAGCGACTGAATTGATGTCTCGTTCATTCTGATCGTCTACAAGGGGGTCTTCGCCTGAGTGGAAACAGAAGATGGTTCAGCTTGGTAAGGAGCCAGCGAACAGGCTGACAGTGGTAGATGTGGATTGATCCAGTCTGAGCTGGAGGAGTTGCCAACAGGACAAGCCTTGCGGACACATCCCCACTTCCAGCAAACTTAAAGTTCTCCCTACAGCTGTTTATAAAATTTGAAAATCTAGAGAAAAATTGTAATAATAATATATGAACACACATTATCCTGCATTTAAACCAAATAATTGTCAAAGTTTCATCGTGTTTGCTCTCTCTCTGTCGTTATTTATACTTCTTGTTGTCACAGCTCAGCTGTTTGAGAATATTTTGTAGACCTCACAACAAATAGGTCACTGTGAAATATTTCAACACATAGCTCTTAAGAATAAAGACTTCCTTCTGCAGAACCACCACAATATTATTATTGCTGCAAGGTATTGTTGAGTTGGTTCCAACTCACAGCCACCCAGTACAGAGCTTCCAAGGCTGTAAATCTTGATGGGAACAGAACATCTAATCTTTCTGCTGCACAGTATTATCACACCTGTGGAAATGAATAGTTCCAAACATCATTTACTAACTATACAGTTCACATTCCAACGCCCCCAGTTGTTCCTATCATGTATTTTTTTCCTTAGATTAAAAAACGCCCCCAAACTAAGCTCTTATCAATGTTCACATTTGGTTGCTATGTCTCGTTAGTCCCTTAAATGTAGAACAGATCCAATTGTTTTGTTTGTTTTTTATAATAATGACTTTTTTAGAGTCCAGGCCAGTCCTGTAGAATGTCTCCCATTCTGAATTTGTCTCATGATTAGCTCCCGGTTTCATATTTTGGGCAAAAGTTCTACCTGGGTGTCACTGGCAGACACCTTATGGCATCCCATCAGAAACCACCTAATGTCAGATTGCTGCTGCTGCTGTTTGGTTGTTGGTGAAGGTGGAGACTCCGATCTCTACATGTTAAAGTCATGCCTCCCTTTCTGAAATCAGGAAGTGATCTGGAAATGATACTGTGAGGCCCTGTCCTGTGCGTATCAATGTCCTCAACAGTTTCACCCAATTGTTTAAGCATCCACAGTGACTTTGGCCCAAATCAATGATCACACTAGGGGTTACAAAATAGGCATTTTCTGTTTGTTATTTCGCCTGTATCTATTAGCTGGCATTCTTCTGTAAGGAAGAACTTTCCTCCCCTTGCTCCAACCCCTCTTAGTTTAAAAAAAAAAAAAAAATTTTTTTTTTTTTTTAAAAAGGTTAATTCAATGTATTGTGATTTATTATCATCATTTTTCTTTTGGATGTTCCAAATGGCCCAAATTTGGCCCCAGGAATCCTTTCTTCTGTCATTTTAATATAACCTCTTTATTGAACATTTCTTTGCTTTCTGGCAGAAAAGATTTCCTTGCACTTTTCTAGTATCAAACATCTCTTCACAGAGCTCTGGTTCCTTTTTGTAGGGAATAGCTTTAGGAAACCAAGATCTAGATACTCATTGCTACAGGAATATTCTAAATGGTTTGTCGCCCCTTTCAGTGGATAGTATATATGTGTGCATACGAGTTCAGAATAATATTTCTAATTCATATTTAATATACGAAGTTTTGCTTGCCTTCATTTATTTTGTATGTGTCTATCTTTTTCTTACAGAGAAACTCTTGGTTCCTAATACCATTACCATATTTATTTATTTGCTTTATCCTACAACATACATAAAATAGTCCTGAAAATTTTAACACCAACATTACTATTACTAACTTATCTTCTACATAAAGTCAACAATTTCTTTGTGTGTATGTTTGGGTATATATGTCTATCTTCAGACTATATCCCACTTAAATGTATAATTAGAAGACAGAAAGTAGATTGCTAATTGCCAAAAGAGGAAGGGACAACAAATGCGTACAAAGTCTCTTTCTGGGGGTGAAGAAATTTTTCCAGAACTAAATTATGGGGATGGTTGTAGGACTCTGTGAGTATACTCAAACCCAGATCCTACTGCCACTGAGTTGATTCCAATTCATAGCAACGCTGGATGGGGTTTCAGAGGCTACAGCTCTTTAAAGGAGCAGAGAGCCTCTTCGTTCTCCCTCAGAGTGGCTGGTGGGTTCGAACTGCTGACTTTGTGGTTAGCAGTCCAATAGTTATCTAGCACCACCAGGGCTAGAAACTATGAACACATTTACTTTAAACTGATGAACTTCATGATATTTAAATGAAACCTTAATACAAAAAATGTACATATGTAAAAGCTACTCTCTATGTGGTTATGTTGTAAATTTGATACATAGTTAGCTTATTTGTTTCTATTTCTATTGAACTTTAGAGGTTCTTTTTAGAAATTCTTTTGCTTTTTAAATTTATAGTTTTGAAAAATAAAACATTCACATGGTCCGAAAGTCAAAACCAGATACAAAGTTCCAGGTAGAGGGGCCCCAGCCTTATCTTTCTCCCTCCACCTCCCAGTAAACCGTTTCATTAGTTTCTGGTTTAGACTGGTGGGTTTCTTTCTGAAAAAATAAGCAACACACAGATGCATTTTTATTGCCCTTGCTTCTTATACAAAATGTAGTATATTACTATATATGCTCATTTACATATTTGTTCCTTCAATTGCTGTGGAGTTGATTCTGACTCATGGGAACCCTGTGTGTGTCAGAAGAGAACTGTGCTCCATAGCATTTTCAGGGCTTTTCTGAAACATTTTGTCAGGCCAGTCTTCTGAAGTATTCCTGGGTGGGTTTGAACTGCCAAACTTTTAGCTAGAGTTGAGCGCTTAGCCATTTGTGCTACCAAGAATTCCTTTACAAGTACGATAAATCCTTAACAATCAATCTGGAAATCCCTTTACATCAGTTTATAGGTATGTTTCTCACTCTTCTTTCTTTCTTTTTAATGGCTGCAAAGAACTCCATGTGATGGTTACACCATAATGTATTCCATCAATTGTCTATGGGTAGACATTTGATTGCTTTCTAATATTTTGCTATTACAAATATTGCCACAGTGTGTATAACCTTGTACATATGGGTTTTTGTATTTGTATCTGTGCTATTTTTCTAGAAGTGGAATTGTTGAGGATAAATTCTTAGATGTAGTTTGATCAGTTACAACCAAATTCCCCTCCTGAGGGGTGTACCATTTTACATCCCCACCAGCAACATAGGAGAATTCTGTCTTTCCATAGGTCTGCCCATGGAATGTGTTCACCTTTTTGAATTTTTGCCAAATGGATAGGGAAGAGTGGAATCTCAGGGAGTAGTCTTTTTCAGTTGAATTCAGGGATGCTGAGCTAGTTCAGCGCTGGGAGCCCCTGGACAGGAGGCAAAGGAGATCAGGGAGCCATTAACTCCTTCCAGAGGGTATAGAGACAATGACCTAGCACAGCATGGATGGCACCTCTCAGACCAGCACCCAATGACCAGCAGAATCAGAAACTCACACTCAGACCTCTTTATTCTGCCTCCGTTATAGGAAGAGAGCTCTGGGCCCCAACATGCTTTAGTGCAACTTAGAGAAATGGCCCCCTTCCTCCAGTAGAAAGTCCTATCCCACGGTTAGCAGTTTATGGAGTGTGGGCTGGCATTCAACTCCCACTTGCCCTTTGGCAGTGCCCAGTCTTAACATTTGTGTGGCAGCCCTGACAACCTCTCATATAGTCCCATGAATGCTTTGCCCACAAAACTTCTTTGTGGAGAAGAAAAAGAGAAAACATCAAAAACCATAGTAATACTAAAGGGTCCATACTCAGAGAGCACTTGCACAACACCTAGAAAGACCTCCGGGACCCCTCTCCCTTTCAAGACAACTAAGGCACTTACACAGTCAGACAGGTACCAGTCAGTCAGACCAGACTGCGTCATGCCTAAGAGATATTCTTTCTGTTACTTGTGATTTTCTAATTTATCTGCTGTCTACTTACCTACCTGCCTATCTGTCTGTCTATCTTCCTATTTCTTTCCTTTGCAGCAGAACCCCACGCTCTCTTTTTCAAGAAAAACATTTTCTAAGAAATTCGAACAGAGTTGTGTAAATTGAATGGGTGGGTAGGGATAGTCTAAGTCCTAACTCCTCAGCCTCCTTCTCTCTCCCTGCAGTAACCTTTGAGGCCTTTGAGGACCCTAAGGAGTTTGAATACTCTGCACTATTCTAAATGGCTTCCTAATTACTACCACAAATTATTCTTAGGGTTTCATAATTTAAAGACACATCATTTTTGTTTTTCTACACTGTGATGCTGGAAGCTATGCAACCAGAATTTTAAATATCAGCACGGTCATCCATGATGACAGGGTTCAGCAGAATTAGTCGACTAAACAGACCAGGAAGAAGGAGATACAGACCACTTCTGAATGGTTAGCCTCTGAAAATACTATGAATAGCAGAGGCACATTGTCAGATATAGTGCTGGGAGGTGAGCACCTCAGGTTGGAAGGCACTCAAAATATGACTGAGGAAAAGCTACCTCCTCAAGGCCTCTGCAACCATCAATGGAGAAGAGCCGAGAGCGGGACCCTACCCAGAGAAACAGAGATGCCTGAGATGGAGACAGAGATGATGACGTGGAGTGATGAAGTGACGGGGACTTTGGACTCAGAGAGGGAAAGGGACTGTGGGCCGAAAACTGGGGGGACGAGGGGGAAGTGTAGGGAGCGGGTTTCTGGGATATACCCTTTGGGTGGTTGAAGATGCATGGAAGGGATTGGAACCATGGCAGTGAGATGATATACGATGGAATGAATGTAAAACTAAAGTTCTCCCATGTAAACTATCATATAATTCACAATAAAACATTAAAAAAAAAAAAAGAAAAGCTGCCTCCTCAAAGTAGAGTTAACCTTAATGATATGATATGGATGGAGCAAAGCTTTCAGGACCTTCATGTGCACAACTCAAAATGAGAAAAAACAGTTGCAAACATACATTAATAATTGGAATACTGAATTCATGAAGTATATGAATCTAGCAAAATTGGAAGTTGTCAAAAATGAAATGGAAAGAATA